AATGCACAATAACAATATTAATGGTCAATTTCAGTCTGCTGAGATAATGTCAAACAACTCTACAGGATGTGGTCAATGGAGCTCAACGTGACCAAAAAAAAAAATTCAGGCAGTATGAAAAGAGAAGTTAAAGAAACACAAACAATGTGCAAACTTGAGTCAAGTCAGTTCTTCAGTGGATTCCATTCAAGTTTGGAATGAGGGAGAGATTTTGTTAATGCTGTTGTTCCAGGGCCTAACTGCAGTGAACACAAGATGCTAAAAAGAAACCACAAGAACCAAGACAATCTGCAGTCCTTTAAATCAGAGAACAGGTTTATTTTTACTAACATTCAGTAAGTAGAGGACCTTTATCTTAAAGCAGTTCTAAACATAATTACAGGTCTGGTTTGTTTAGACCAGGGCTGTCCAAACTCGGTCCTGGAGGGCCAGTGTCCTGCAGAGTTTAGCTCCAACCCTAATTAAACACACCTGAACCAGCTAATCAAGCTCTTACTAGGCATAGAAACTTCCAGTCAGGTGTGTTGAGGCAAGTTGGAGCTAAACCCTGCAGGACACTGGCTCTCCAGGACCGAGTTTGGACAGCCCTGGTTTAGACCATTGGACTTCAAAGTGTGAATCTTTTTTCAGATGTCTGATGTTTAGTGAAGCGCTGTCATGGATCTAAAGGTATGAATTCCCACAATAGCTCAAAATATAAACAGTTAGCCTAAATAAAGGTGTTATTTTTCTTGTGTAAGAAACATCTTGTTTCCACTGTATGCTTTTGTGACTCTAGCAGCTCCGTTTCTGAGTCAAAGTGAAACCTGCTGCGGTCTGACTTTAATTCAGACCAGTTTAGTGGCAGAATGACCCAAATGAATGTGGTTTCATTCTGTTGGGTGGACAAACGTCTTGCTCCTGTTTACAATTGCATGTGTGCGCTGATGGGTAAATGGGCAAAGGCATTATTTTCCTTTAAGTCAGATTTCCACTCACAAACTTCACTCACAATGTAAAAATCGCAACTCCAACAACTCCAGATTCTCACCCTTGGAACAGCTCTTATTTATCTACATCTTACAACGTAGGCTATATCTTAACACGGCAGTAAAACGAACCAAAGTGCTTCATTCTGGAAAGAAAAATAACAGCTTCTATGCGAGTATACCGTCGAAAGACTGTGGTAAAATTAGTCACTATATTGAAATACCCATGTCATATCCATGGAAACAAGTGATAAACAGAGGTTACTGTCTTGTGATGTTATTAAGAGCTAAGGAATTAAAACCCGGATGCGAAACTGAGCCACAACGTCAGTATTTTGGTAGTTGCGCGTTCATGTAGGCTACATCATATCGCGGCGCATTTCACGGAGGTGCGCAGACTGAAAGCATTTGCTTGTT